TACAAGACATTTAGAGAAGAACTACTTCCACTACTCTTCAGACTTTTCAATGAAATTGAAATGGAAGCAGTATTTCCAAATTCATTCCTGCAAGTAAGTGTTACTTTGATTCCAAAACCAGGGAAAGACCCAACCAAAAAAGAGAACTAAAGGCCAATCTCCCTAATGAACATAAGATGCAAAAACCCTTGATAATACTGACAAACAGAATACAGAGAGTCATCAAAAAAATCATACACCCTGACAAAGTTGGATTTATTCCAGGAATGCAAGGATGGTTCAACATACGTACATCAATGAATCACTATATTAACACTATAACATAAGTAAATCAATAAATCACTATATTAACACTACATTAACAGAGTTAAGGACAAATACCATATGATCATCTCAATAGATGCAGAAAAAGCACTTGACAAAATTCAACACCCATTCGTGATAAAAACCCTGCAGAAAATTGGAATAGGTGGTCTTTATCTCAACTTGATAAAGGCTATCTATGAAAAACCAACACCCGGCATCATATTAAATGGCCAAAAACTGAAACCTTCACACTAAAATCAGGAGTAAGACAAGGATGTCCACTGTCACCACTCTTGTTCAATATAGTTCTGGAAACAGCCACAGCAATTAGACATGAAAAGAAATTAAAGCAATAAAGATAGGAAAGGAAGAAGTTAACTGCCATTATTTGCTGATGATACTCTATATAGAAGACCCAAAAAATTCTGCCAAAAGACTTCTAAGACTTAATTGACACTTTCATTTTACATGCTGCTTTTTTTTTTTTGGTACTGGGGATCGAACTCCGATCCTTGCGCTTGCAAGGAAGGCAGCAGAACCACTGAGCTAAATCCCCAGCTTTTTTTTTTCTTTTTACATGCTGCTTTTTTTTGGTGGGGGGGGGTTGACACTTTCCGCAGAGAAGCTGTATACAAGGTCAACACTCAAAAATCAACAGCCTTCTTGTACACAAAGAACAGACTCACTGAGAGAATTTAGGACAACAATTCCTTTCACAATAGCATCTAAAAAAATGTATTTAGGAATCAATCTAACAAAGGAAGCAAAAGACCTTTACACTGAAACCTACAGCACTCTGAAAAAAAGATCCAAGAGGATATAAGAAAATGGAAAGATATCCCCTGCTCCTGGGTAGGAAGAATCAACAGTGAAAATAGCCACACTACCAAAACTGCTATACAGATTCAATGCAATCCCAAATGAAATCCCAAAAGTATATTCACAGAACCAGAGAAAATCATCCAAAAATTCATTTGGAACCAGAACAGACCTGGAACAGCAAAAGCAATTCCAGGCAACAGAGACATGACAAGGGGTATCACCATTCCAAGTTAGAAACTATACTACAAAGCCACTGCGATAAAAACAGAATGGTCCTGGCAAAGAAACAGACCCAAGGATCAGTGGAATAGATTGGAAGATGCAGAAACAACTCCAGACATACTCAGCTACTTCATCTTTGACAAAGAAGCCAACCATCCTCACTAGAGGAAATATAGCCTCTTGGTAAATGGTGTTGGAAAAACTGGATTTCAACCTGCCAAAGATTAAAACTAGACCCTTATCTTTCACCATGCACTAAACTAAAATCCAAGTGGATTAAAGATCTAAATATTAAAACAGAAACTCTAAACTTACTGGAAGATAAGTTAGGCAGAACTCTCAAAGACATTGGCATAGGAAAAGACTTTATGAACAAATCCTCAGGAGCACGGGAACTAAAGAATCAACTGGGATCTCATCTTATTAAACAGGTTCTGCGCTGCAAGAGAAACCACCAACACAGCAACAACCTACAACATGGAAAAAAAATTTTACCAGCTGTTCCTCAGATAAAGGCCTCCTATCTAGAATATATAAAGAACAATAACAATAACAAAAAAATCAGACCACCCCTGGAATATAATGACCCAAGTCAAAATGAACAGACAAAAAAGTAAAAGCAACAAATAAACATATGAAAAAATGTTCAACATCACTGGTCACTTGAGAAATGCAGATGAAAACAATACTGAGGGCCAGGGATTTAGCTCAGTGGTTTCACAGCCTGCCTTGCAAGCACAAGGACCCAAGTTCAATCCCCGGTACCAAAAAGAAAAAAGTTAAAGAGTATGGATCATTGACTACTAGCTGTTGACAGAACTTGTTCATCATCCCCAGGCTGAAGCCCTGTACCTGTTTAACAGGTATTCCCTTTTCCCCTCCTCATTTAACTGATTTTTTTTTCCATAGACAGTACTTGTTGCTTAAAGTCTGTTAACTTATGTCAAGAATAACCAAAACATCTAGTTTTAATAAAGACATACAGTAAATAATCTAAATGTCCATCAATGAGAAAATCAACTGGTAATTTCATATATAACTATAAACTACCTACCTTTATTATAAGTGTAAAAATGAATACATTGTAGCTGATTTTTTTATGGTACTGAGGATTGAACTTGGACCTCAGAACTGAGCATACATATATCCCCGGTTTGTTTGTTTGTTTGTTTTAATTTTTGAGACAAGGTCTTGCTGTCTCTAAGTTGCTGAGGCTGGAATCAAACTTGTGATTCTCCTGCCTCAGCCTCCCAGGATGATAAGATTAAGATATGCAGCCCACAATCCTGTTGCTACACTGTAACATGGATGACACTCTGCTGAAAAATACATTCAGAAGGAAAAAAAAAAAAAAAAAAAAAAAAACCCAAAATATTCAGAAGGTATTATTAGTAAAGGTTAAAAACATACAAAATTACTATATCTGTGTTGAGATTTATATATAAAATGTAAATACAGTACATGAAAACAATAACAAATTCAGTATTGAGTGGCTGAGGCAGGAGGATTTCAAGTTAAGAGTCCAGCCTCAAACTTAGTAAGACCCATGGGCTCCAGATTTAGCTCCATGGAAGTGCATCTGCCTAACAAGCAATTTCATCCCTGGTACCTGAGGCGTGTGTGTGCATGTGCGCGCGCATGTGTATGTGTGTACGCCAAATAATTGGAATGGTAAGTGATTAAGTAATTATATCAATGATTAATTTCCTGACTTTAATAACCATCTTTTAGTTACGTGAAAAGCTTTGTTCTTAGAAAACATGCTGAACTATCTAGGGATAAAGAATGATAATGAGTACAATTTACCCTTAAATGGCTCAGATGTGGCAAATGTTAGTAACTGGTAGGTGAAGAATATAGGGTATTCTCTCTAAAATTTTGTAACACTTGTGTAATTTTGAAATTTATTTTAAAAAATATTGTCAGGTATGTTGTGGTGCAAGCCTATAATAGTACTCAGGAGGCTGAGGCAGAAGGATCACTGTGAGTTCAAGGCCACCCTGGACCACAGAGTTGAAGGCCAGACTGAACTACGTAGTGAAACTCTGTTTCAAAAAAACAAGACAAATTTAAAACTATTGCAAAGACACTGCTATCTTTTTTTTTTTTTTTTGGTACCAGGGATCAAATTCAAGTCCTTGAGTTTGTGAGGCAGGCGGCAGACCACTGAACTAAATCCCTGGCCCAACATTGCTATCTTTAAAGATAAACAGAGAACAATTACCATGCTATCAAAATATTCCCCAGTTGCAGATTGGTAATCAGGTTTGACATTTCTAACATTAGATTTTAAAATTATATGCATAGTAATAAATGTTTATTGACTATTAAAACTGTCCCCTTGCAGCTCTGGTAAAAGATCCTAAAAAAAAAATTGAAGAGACACATCTCATGTGAATATGTATTTCTTTTTACCTGAGACATCCATCTGTCATCTCCTTGAACATCCTCTGCCGCATGTGGAATAGCTGCTGGGTTTGAATCTCCTTGGCTCATTCTACACCTGAGGAAAAATGTCTATGTCATGTTTCATTTACTAACAGAAATGTTTGCTACCACTTACTTAAATATTACAGATCAAATTTTAAATAATACTTTGTTTCACTATGAGTTTTTTCCAGAAACAAAACATTTATTTTTAACATACATGAATTCCAGGACATGACTTCTTAAATCTCATATCACTAATCTTCCAGACAAATTTTTTTATTTTTTTTGGAGACAGTGTCTCAATATGTAGTTGAAAGTGACCTAGAACTCACTATGTAGCCCAGGCTGGTTTCAAACTCACAGAGATCCTCCTGCCTCAGCCTCCCGAGTGCTGGGATTACAGGCGTGCACCACCACATCTGTCTCCAGACAAATTTGAGTACTGCTTAGAAATAGTGCATTACATTTTTTTAAAAATCTGCTCCAAGTAATATACACTTTACACCCATGTAAGCTTTTCACGATTACATGTAACACTACCAAATGACATAATGAGCTGGACACAGGACAATGAGATCTACATTATAACCCTTTTTAGAGTTACACACTAAAGAATAACTACAACAATGATAAGCATCCACTAGTTACCAAGCATCACACAACTGTAGTACAGGTTATAATAAAAACTAGTTCCAGGATTTAATACTAGTTTTCATTGTCTCAAAACAGAGTGGTCTTGAACTTGGAATCCTGATACCTCAGCTTTCTGAATGCTCAGATTACAGGTATACACCACCATCCACACCTGACAGGTAGTTAGATCTTGACAATGCTGACTAGTTTTGTTTTTTCCCCCGGTCCGGAGGATCAAACTCAGGACCTTGTGCTGGTGAGGCAGGTGTGGTGCCACCGAGCTAAAACCCTAGCCAGCTCACTAGGTACTTTTGACAGGTCTCCACTAAAATAGTTCTAGCAACAATGAGCTCAAATATGGCACTGGATAGCAGAAAAGGAATAAATAAAACTCAGAAAAATTAGAAATTTTAATCTTCTAGAAAGACAAACAGGAAACCAGACAATTTTTCAACCAATTGTGAAGAAATAGATTCCAAATGCAAAGGACAATGAAAAAGAGAAAAGTCTAAGATTTTGTGGCTTTTATACCAAGGCTTATTCTATATGAGCAATCTTTTTCTTTTCTTTCCCATCCTCAAATATAGCTAGTCTTTCTGTGAAGGAAGACAGATTTATTCTATATTCTATACTTATATAGTAGGATCTATATATTATGCACACAATTACAAGAGGTTATGTATCCTGTATGTTTTGTACATACCATTCCAATCTTCACAAAAGTACTATAAAATGAGGAAAACAAAGGCCAGAAAATTTAGGTAATTTGTACAGTGAGTCTAAATGAGACCTGAAAGTAGGTTTGCCTCATCCCCAAGAAGTCATATCTGGCCCAATGATCACAAATCAATTCATGCTGGGCCAGGGATTTAGCTCAGTGGTGCTTGTGCCTGCCTCACAAGCACAAGGTCCTGAGTTCAATCTCTAGTACCAACAAACAAACAAAAAAACCCAAACCAGTTCATGCTGACTCCCTAAAAGGGTCCTTATATCTAACCATTTCACCCAGGAGACATGCAACATTGATATAAAAAATGAGAATCAAGAACTGCAAAGTGAATCTGTATAGTTCCAATCGGGCTATGGTGTTTGGGGTTTCATCAACTAAGAAGGGCACACACACACAAAAAGAAGCATAAAGGAAGAACAAAGAGCTGGGGATGTAGCTCAGTGGTGCTGCACCTGCCTGGCAAGCGCAAGGTCCTGAGTTCAATCCCTGGTGGGGGGTGGATGGGTACAAATGACTTAAGTCAAAATATTGCCATATATAGATTTTTTAATGTGAGGCTTTTGCTTTTGTTTGTAAACACAATAAAACATCATCATCATCATCATCATCATCATCATCATCATCATCATCATCATCATCATTTTGGAGACACACAACTGGCAGCAATCCTCCTGCCTCAGTCTTCAGAATGCTGAGATTACAGGCATATGCCACCATGCTTGGCAAAATCAATATTCTATACCAGTGAATCTATGGCACATGTGCAACAGCAGGCATGCAGAGCTCTCCCTGTGGGCACATCATCTAAGTCAACCCAGCAGCCAAGCACTGGATAACAGCGCACATAGGAGCAGCAGTGCTGGCACTTTGCAATAAATAAGTGGGTTTTGGGTTGCAGTCTGAACACTTGGTCTCTAAACAGTTCACCATCACTGCTCTGTACCTTCTACAGAAAAGCTTCTTTGCTGCTGGGTGTGGTGGTATATTCCTTGTAATCACAACTTTCTGGAAGGCTGTGGCAGGAGGAGTCCCAAATTTAGAGGTCAGCCCAGACAACTTAAGTCTTTGTCTCAAAATAAAATAAATAAAATAAAAATTTAAAAAGACTGGAGGCATAGCTCAGTGAAAAGGTGCCTAGCATACATAAGGCTTTAGTTCAAACCCTAGTACAGGTGTGGAGGATGCCATTTGGGCCTGGGTTGTAGCTCAGTGGAAGAGTACTTGCCTAGTATGTACCAAGCCCTGGGTTCCATCCCCAGCCTCCAGGCCGAGAACAGTAAGTTTCTAATAAACATTACTATAACTATAAACTGAAATTATCTGTCTCATAAAGTAAACTCTGAATGGAGACACAAAGAAAGACAGGCTAGCTAAATACGTAACAGGAAAGCACAAAGTGAGTATAAATATGAGTAAAGATTGATCCAAATTAATTACTTCAGCCGGGCATGGTGGTGCACACTTGTAATCCCAGCACTGGGAGGCTGAGGCAGGATTACCATGTTTGAGACCAGCCTGGGCTACATTGTGAGTTCCAGATCAGTCTCAACTACATAGTGAGACTGTCTCAAAAAAAAAAAAAAAAAAGAAAAAAAAAGAAAATACCCAGTTTAGTGACTTCAAACATTTTTGAATGGTTTAGAATCTTTTTGAAATGTACCCCAATATACATATATTTGTGTGTAAATTACGTGGATTTTTAATATGTATGTTAAATATAGTTTATTTTTTGCATTTTTATATTAAATCTTCCCCCTCCTCCCTACCCCCTTTTACCCGGGATCAAACTTGAGGCAGGCAGCAGAACCAGAGCTAAATCCCCAGCCCAACATCTCTTTAAATCTATGATCTACTTTACCAACATACATTTTCAGAATTTTAACAAGTAATTTACAATAACATTAACAATTACAATTAGCGTGTGTGTGTGTGTGTGTGTGTGTGTGTGTGTGTGTGTTTTGTACTGGGGATCAAAATCGGGTCCTTGCACTTGCGAGGCAGGCAACAGAACCAGTGAGCTAAATCCCCAGCCCTACAATTAATGTTTATTAAGAACTGTTCAGCATGATGGCTCGTGCCTGCAATCCCAGCACTCATGAGGCTGAGGCAGGAAGATCACAGAATTTGAGGCCAATATGAACTACCTAGTGAGTTCAAGGCCAGCATGAATCACGTAGTGAGACCCTGTCTAAAAAATTATTCATAGTACCTTCTGCCAGAAGCTTTATTATTTAAACCATACTGAACAGTGATTTACAAGTTGACTATTCGGAGACATGCTTAAAAACCACAATTTTTGTTATTTATTTATTTTTGTGGTACTGGAGATTGAACCCAGGGGCTCTCTACCACTGAGCTTTCTTTGAATTTTTTATTTCCCTACGTCAGTCTTCCAAATAGCTGGAATGTGCCACTGTGCCTGGCTTAGAAGCATTTGGGATATTTTAGAATTTGGGATATTTGCATATACAAAATGAGATATTTTGCCAATGAGACCTAAATAGAAACATGAAAATTCACTTGTGTTTATACATTGTCTGAAAATAATTTTATGTAACATTTTTTATTTCTGTGCTTTGACTGTAACCTATCATGAAGTCAGGTATGGAATTTTCCACTTGTGGCATCATGTCTGCTCTCAAAAATATTCAGATTTTGGAACATTTCAGATTAGGGATGCTTGCTCATTTTGCTGAGCAAACAAAAATCTGTTTTTCTTGAACAAAGTATATTATGTTCTACACAGGAAACACTATATGAAACAGTGATAAATTTTAACTCAGCAAGAAATTTCTTTTTTTTTGTTATCACTACACAAAAGTAGTGGCATTCTGATACTAGGAAAAACACTTCTGCTTGAATCCTAAATTTCTTCACTGACAAACTGAAAAAGACACATGGACAGAAAAACAAAGAAACAAAATGTCATTTCTCTAAAACTAGGGGTAGCTACAACCGTAAGATTAAATATTATTCCCAATAGGGTAGTGTTATCCTCCCTCTACCCCTAAATGAATACAAGGTCATTTTCCTCCCATTATCTGAGCAAAAATGTGTTTCTTTGTGCTTCATACACTTGAATTTTTAATTATTTTGCTACAATACAAAGTAGCTTTCAGTTTTATATCTAAGGCTTGATTATTTATTTATTTATTTATGAGGGGGAGTACCGGGGATTGAACTCAGGTCTTTGCACTTGCAAGGCAGGTCACCGAACCGCTGAGCTAAATCTCTGGCAATAAAATTTTTAAACTCCCAGACAACTGAGCCATAAATTCACATGATCTCCTCTGAAAGAAGCAGGCTGGAAACATGATGTAGAGGGCTATACACTTAAGAGGATTCAAATTTGGGAGTCAAGTCAGAGATTTAGCTCAGTGGTTCTGCCACCTGCCTTGCAAGTGCAAGGACCTGAGTTTAATCCCTGGCATGGTGGGGGGGAGGTCAACTTTGGGAGTCAGATAAACTGTTGTATGCTTTATACCAAAAAATGAAGAACAGGCCAGGTATAGTGATGCATGACTTTAATTCCAGCACACTAAGAGACTGAGACAAGAGGATTACAAATTTAAGCACAAAATGGGCAATTCAGCAAGACCATACTTCAAAATAAAAAAAATTTTTTTAAGACAGGGTCTCACTACGTAGTTGAGACTGCCATGATGGGGCACACCTGTAATCCCAGCATTCAGGAGGCCAAGGCAGGAGGA